TTTATACACACCACAAACCATACCACAATAAAAAGAAAATTAAAAACAGACACATTAAGTCACCAACAAATTCTACAAAAATAAAGCTGTATAGAGATGGAAAGACAGGGATGGTGTTGTATATTAAGTAGCGATGATGTGAAGATGTATTGAAGAGAAGTCCGCTGACACCGTCTTGATTGTATATAAAGGTTTATTACAAAAAAGTCCAGCATCATTTCAAGCCCCAGGAGCTTGGATAGCATCCTGCCAAATGAACAGCTCTGTCGATATGCTTCAGACATAGGTTTTTATAGGTGGTTGTTCTTCAAGAAGATAGTAAAGAAACATCTGGTTCTAATACAGATGTGCTGGAATATTTATGTAAAAAGGGAGGAAGGGGAGGTTCTAACTTAAACATTCAAGAGGAAGAATTATATCCTTTGGGCCTCATGAACTACTGACACTACATATGTTGACAAAATATAATTTGAACTTATAACCCTTTAGACACCACAATGGAAAAAATATTTCACTCAAGAAAACACACTCAAATTAGTTTTTCCAAAATGTACTTAAAAGTAGATCAGTTAAGATGTACTATTGAATATGGTTTATCATGACTTTTGTTTTTTTTTTACTTTGAGAGTAAACTTCAACTTTACTTCCAGCCCTGATGAGTCATTATTAACTCTTTTCAGTTTTCGCTCACTTGCACCATCATGATGGGTTGGAAGGAGTCTGACATTGTTGCCCTGATGGTTACGTGATGACCCTTATAAATTAGACTGGGGCCATTTGCTTTACCTCTGACAAAGGTTTTGTCATTCTCATAATACATCTTACAATAAAGATCATAATCACACTTTTTGTAGTTGGGAAATATTCCCAGTGCGTACCAGTTGGAGTACAGGTTGAAATCATAGGGCACAGAGTACATGACAGCTATTTTCTCACTGATGTTCTTTGTGCGTGTGTTGAGGAGATCATAAGTGAAGACGCCAACAGCTCCTCGAGCTGCTCCTTCCGTCTTGGTGAACAATCCATTCCCAGATGCGCCAGAGGCAATAGTCGGTGGCAAACATCCACTTCCACTTGTAGCGTGGACACTGTTCATAGGGGCAATAAAAAATTCCTTGATGATTTGAGGACATTTGAGTATGATTTATTTCAGTTAGTAGTTACCTGACGTTAGACAGAGTGTAGGTACTGCATCCATTCGTAATCTCAACTTTGCACTGGCGATGTGTTGGAATCAGCGGAGCAACCGAACCAACAGCTCCGACCGCAGCGAAGGCCATGATAGCAGACCTGTTCAGACACAAAGCTGAAATGCTAATTTTTTCACCCCTCAGCTCTCATAGAATGGACATGAACAGGAGGCAAATATACGCCAGTGTTGAATGTCTATAAAACTCCTCACATATCAAATGTTAATACATATGTATTTAAATGAAAAATAGATGCCTTTTGTTGTGGAAACTGAAAACTCAGTTCTTCTAATGCAGGTGAGAGTTGGCAGTTAAATGCCAGGCAGTGTTGATAATCCATTTGTCGACACAGCTCAAAACACATTAACAAAAACAGGATCATTCAGGGAAGAACAGGTTTATCTGGAAATGTCCCTCGTACATACGTATACATCACAATATATAAAAAGATATGTACAATAATTACAACTCTAAAGAAGATTCTTTTAGATCTGCATATTCATTATTTCTTTATGAGTACCCAAGGGTAAAGGTGTTGTACAGACAGGAGATTCAGCAGTCCAAAGTTGAAAACAAGATGCATTCACTGTGGACATAAGGAAAGCAGCCGTTCATTAAACAGTAAATACCTAAATCTGAAGACAACTGTTGTACTTTAAATTCAAAGATAATCTTTTTAATTCATTTCAAATTAGCAAATAAAACTCCTTTGGGTTGAATGAACCACATATCACACCAACAGAGATTAGACTTCCAATGAAATGTAAAATAAAATGTGCTTTTTACCTAAAAAGTATGCAATTTGGTTCTAATTATGTGTCAAATATTAGACACTGTTTGAAAAAAGTTAACTAGATATCTACCAAATAACAATTTTAGTGTAACCTCAATAGCTTTTTAGTGCACAGCGGGTCATCTGAGCTTGCATAAATGTGAAATCTGTCAACAGGCAAGCATATGATTAAACAAATGGAGAATAAAGTTTCTAAAACTAAAGTAGTAATACTTAATACTTAATAGAAAATTGGTTGTTTTTTTTAAATTCATGGTTTCCATATCATTAGTACCAAATGACATGGTTCTATCCAGGACAGGTCTTTAAAATGATTAGGAAATGATTCAGCAATGATAGACCCATTTAATAAATGTTCATCAACAGTAAAGCAATCCAGATCATTTGAAATTTCAAAGCAGCTTGCTTAGGTTTTGGTAAGAAACATGATGCTGTGATAAGAAGCTCATGGTACAGAGTCATGAACTCAGACCTACCTGGTTGTTTTTCCCTGGTATGAACACCTGTGATGGACAGCTGAAAGTTCTCACTGTCAGCCTTGGTTGGCTTCTTATACTGGTTATGGAGGGAATCACTTGTAGAAACAAACATTTCGTTCATACTTTACATACTGTACTCTGTTCTGCTCTGCTGTTCTGCAGTGAAACCTGGTAGAGCACTGCAATAGCTTCAGTGTGTCGGCTGCATGTATGTGACAACAACAAGCCAAGATTTTATGCATATTGTGTTCTATGACAGTTTTGTTCAAATTAGATTTTTTTGTTTGTTTACAGTATCACAATATGTCGCAATATACTGAATTGTAACCCCTGTATCATGAGATGAATCATATCTCCAGATTCGTGCAAATATACAGCCCAAAGGCCTATGCTCTTCTGTCTCATCAGGCATAGTTTTGCTGGCCATCAGGAGCACCGGGACAAATCCTGGTGGGACACTCAATTAATTATACAAAAGAAAGAGTGAGAGATGTGTCATCATCGTTGCAAAGTCACTTGCAAAACAGCTGCCGGTAAGGCATTGAAAGCCATAGTTTGTGCAGGACATTGCAAAGAGAAACTCAGCGTCCCAAAGCAAGCTCTGCTACTGAGCAGAGCTTACCCTCACGCCAGGAAAAAAAACACTTTCACACTTTTATTTTTCTTGAATATGAAGGTTATGGAGGACAGAAAGAGAACAGACTTACTGTAAAAATAATAAAATGCTATTTTTACGGTAAAAAATCTGTGGTTGCCAGAAATTTACCATAATAAATAAAGTTTATTATGGTAATTACAATAAGGATATTAGTACTGCTGAGTTTTAATCCATATTTTACTTATATTTTATTTTAAGTTTTTATTATCAAAAGAAACAGCTTTGTTATATAAATTTAATCTGTGCAATTACAGTGTCATATAAAAAAAAATTCCTTTAAAATGCTGTATAAATAAAGTTTTTACCATGAGATATCACAATGTTTACAGAAATGTCCCCCTTTTTCAAGTTTACTGTCTTATGTCACTCTTCCTTTAAGGCGTTGTGAAAATACTTCTCTTTAACCATATAAATACTAATAACAAAAGTTGCAAAAATGCATAAATAGGTTTTACTACAGTGAAAAAGAAAGCAAGCTGACAATACACAACCACTGTGACTTCGTTATTCACATTTTCTCATTTGAAAGCAGAGTGCCATTTGCTTCTGCATGTTTCCTGTAACAACAGGCAGCTAGGGAGGGACTTGGTGGTTACACTAACCAATAATGCTGAGTGTGCATTACGCCCCTCACTGCTATGCATGCACACATGATCTAGTGTTAGTGTCTACCCTCTAGTGAACACAGCCACACCCGGGACCAAACACAATCACAGAGACCGGACTGCAGCTGCTGCCACTGTACAGTCACATATACAGGCCGTTAGTACAACAGGATGTGTGACTTGACTTGAGCCTTCATTATTTCATATCAGTAAAAATGAAAGTAAAAAAAAAACGTGTCATTGAACATGTTTTCGACCAAACTGGCTGAGACAGCGCTAAACCACTGTCATGTTTTGACCTTTTACCAAACAGAAAATTGTCAAAGCAAAACTGTGACTGCTTGATTTTACACTGGAGCTTATCTCAAATTCCAGGTTATATTAATATTATATAAATTAGTGTATGTGTACCTTTAAGATGTAAGGATAAATGGTCACATTTATGGTGGCCCTGAGAGATATATTTGCAGCGCAAACATTTATATTATTTATATTGTATTTGCAGCTGACTCTCATCACACTTACAGTTACTTATTCCCTCTGTAGAAGCCCCTTATAGTGAGGGTGTCTGAGGAAATGAAAACAGCCAACAACCCCTTCCACTTTTTTTCAATTTCCGACTAATATCTATTATCTATCATGAGAATGAATTGAATGCGGTGTAGACACACTGTCTTAGGTCAGTGTACACTGCGGCCAACAGATTTTCTGTTTTGAAATGAGTAAACCAAAATTGTGAAACAAGCTGTTTTCCCAACTACAATTTATGTAGTTACAGTTATGTATCTGACTGACTCAATTTAGTGTGTTAGCATGACGTCATCATATAGACTGACTTTTTCTCAGCCTCACCAAGTCTGGCTGACTTCCAGTAGCGTTCCAAAAAAACACACAAGTTGTAAACAAGACAACAGGTTAGTCATTATTCGGAAGAGAAAACAAAGGCAGGCTGTTAAATTTTTAACCAAACTGTAAAGATAACAGCAATTTAACAGTGAGCTCACTTTCCATTTTGCCTCCAAATAAAGTGGTTCAGATCACAGTGTTAATAAATAAAATACAGTTTCTAATGAACTGAAATACAATGGAAACTGTGAATGTGAAACAGCAGGTAACAAATGAACATGCATGCAGTAGTTTCCAACACCTATAAACTCACTTTAATGTGAAAAATTGGTGGAGTTCCCCTTTAACCCTCCTATTATGTCAAAAGAAATTACATCCATTATATAATGCGTCAAATTGACCCACACTGTTTGTATGCACTCAAAATAATCAGTTCAAGTTAGTCAAATTTTATTATGGCTTATTATAGAGTTCAAAAAGAAATGATTATTTGATATATATTATATTTAACAAATATTTGATAAACATTTAATAAATTATATGATTTAAATGTATATCATTTCATACAATTATCAAAACTTAACATATTTAATTTCCTAAGAACATGGCAATGATGTACCAAGCATGATCCAACTGCTGTTAGGAGACAGGGTTTAAAAGAAAACAGGACTAAGAGGCTAGAGCCATGCTAGCAGCTCTGTGTTTAGGCACAATGGTGCTTTGAGCTACATGCTAATGTATGTATGTCACAATGACAATGCTAACATTCTGATGCAAAGAAGAAATATGGATTAGCACGTTCAGTGTCTTAGTTTGACGTGTAAGCATGCTAACAACTGGGTTAAATACCATATGCTAATTAGAAAAACTAAACATAAAGTATGCAAATGTGATTTGTTTAGTTCTTGAACGTCCCCTCTTTTTATGTCTGCGGACGTTCAAGAGCATGTTAGAGCCTTCGGTCTATTGGAGCTATTTAGCGTCTGTCTTTGGCATAATCTCTTACAGCTCACCTTTACCCTGACAGGCCAAACAGAACCAGGATTAAAGCAGCCATAACAACAAAGGCAAATCATCGCTGTATTTATACAGTACAGACATTCCACAACACATCAGTTATACCTAAGGTTATGACCCTAAATCAGGAAAAGTCAGTAAATTTCATGGCAGGAAGAATGACCCAATAGCAACTTAACACAAGACAGACACTAAATACTAAACCTAGACGTTCCCTAAGAGGGAGTAAACCTCACAGTTAGCTGAGCTCTTAACATTCACTTAAACTGCTGTAGTTTCACATACTATTATTATTCATATATCTTTGCATTATACTAATTTATGCACACAAGTTATTAACACACATACTACCAAAACATTACCCTGATACTAGCTATGTAGAAATGTGTAATAATGTAATTAATATGAAAGGTGTCCTGTCTTAGTAGAGAATGAAAAGTCAGTTAGAAAAGTGGTATCTCTGAACTGACTGAAAATCTAACAGATAATAAGAAAGAAATATCATTTAAGTTAACATCTTCTGCTTGTTCTCTTCCTTTTCTTCCAAGTAGAAGATCTTTCCATCCGGCTGCTTCCTCCATGTCAGCTTTATGTCCTCACTCAGGCCGTTGTCCTTCAGTGTCTGAGTCAACTGAGAAACACAAACTTTCTTCATTTAGTCTTTATTACAAACATTACAAGAAGGGCATGTCATTTCCACTGCAGGTCACTGACATGCTACATAAAATCCTGTAGTCTTTGGTTGACTGGCCAGATTGCATTGTGTGTCCTACAGTGCCACCTACTGACTGATATTAACCATTTAAAATATATATTATTAAACAAATATAACACTGAGAAACTGGGTTAGAAGAAGAAGAACTTGTTATGCTCTCGATAAAATGGAGTAAGCCTCTTTCAGAACCTCGGTCAACTTCCTCCTTTCCTGTTATGTACTATGATATTCTATGTTCGATAATCTTTACGTACAAAACTCATCATTATTACCTGCTTCAAGATGGCTTCCGCAGCATCCTCAAGGTTCACAGAAGTCTCCTGTTTAGTTACTTTCACCCTCACCACCTGCTGCTTCACTGGCACTTTTAAAAAAAGGGAATATGCAATTAAAAATGTTTTTTTCACCAATATGTAGTACTGTACTATTCAGTGTTGCTGAAGTACTGAATTAAAGCTCACCTATTTCACAGACAAAGTACAACGTTGTATCACAGTCGTAGTCTTCCCATCGGCCATTGTGTATAACTGCACAGGCATAATCACCATTTGGTTCATTATTATTCCAATATGTGAAGGAAGTTGGGCTCCCATCTGACCACTTCCATGAGTCTCTGTAGAGGCCGATCCACACGCTTCGGTTCTGGTTCATATTCTCTATCTGGTCATTCTCAGCTTGGTTCCTCACACTGGCCAGGTCAGTGTAGTGCTCCCTGCAGTAGCTCTGAGCCTCACTCCAGGTCTTGGACTCATTCACATATATGAAGCTGGAAGATGTCACTGTTTCAATGTTACAGCAAAATTGAAAAATGTTGTTAACATGAAGAAATATCTGAACATTGCTACATTTGCCATTCTGGTTTACATGCCATCTAGTCATAACAACAGTTGATACCAGGGGTGCCCAAACTTTTTCACTTGGACAGCCAAAACTGGGACTTAATGGTGGGCCAAGGGCCAAAAGCAAACGTCTATTCTATAGTGTTAAGATGCAAAACTGGGATCCCAAGTTCCCTTAATTGACTGACTTCTGTTTCAAAGTGTCACTCTGTCCACCATGCTCAGGTTATGAAAAAAAAAAAAAAATGAGGGATCCTATAAATAGAATTTTTACCTCACAAGAAATAAAACAGCATAAATAAGTAAATCCCTCCTTATGGTTGGTCAACTTTGGCCCATTGGGCCAGCTTTGGGATGTTCTGGTCTAATACTGTCTACGTCAAAAATGAAGATGGCTTTTTCTGCCGAGCTGGCGATTCCGTTCAAAAAGTGATGACATTCATTTTCAAATCTTCCTGTGTTAAACGCAACAGGAAACTCCTGGTCAGAGGCAAGGAAATTGGTACTATTACTTCACTGTTGAGGCTCAGAAGGACAGCAGATTTTTCACACTGCCAAACACAGGTTTAACCTAGCATCAGCCATTTCCGCATTAAAAGAGCACTTCACGCTGACAGTGAACGTGGTTGTAGAGCGCTACGCTTTCAGAAAAAAAATCCAAGGATTAAGAGAACTTGCTGCCACATACCAATACAGATGATATGGGACGAGCTTGTGGAGCATGTGGCTAACTCCCGCAATAGGGAAAGACTGCTATTAAAAACTAACCTTACATTAGCTGAAGCTATCACAATAGCCACTCAAGTTGAATCAGCTAGTGAGCAAGCTTAGTCCATTGCAGCTGACTAGAAACATGTTGTGCAAACTCAGAAAACAGCAAGCAGGTGTAGACAGCCACGTCAGGGCCCCTCTGCAAAGCCAGCTAATAAACCTACTTCAGCCTCTTCTGCACGTATGTGTTTCCACTGTGGCTCAGAAAAACACCTAATTCACGTGAATGTTTGGCAGCAAAAGCAACCTGTGTCAGACAAGTCTGCTAAGATTCTGAAGCACTGCTGCGCCTCACCCTGGAGGAGGTGGTGGAGGAGAGGATGCTGGCAAAACAAAAACAATCCCTCCCACCCCCTCCACACAACACTGGACAAGCTAAAGAGCAGCTTCAGCAACAGATTCATTCAACCACGCTGCTCTAAGGGACGATATAGAAAACTGTTCCTCTCCACTGCAATAAGACTTTCTATTAATAATTGACTCTGAATCAGCTGCTATAACACTATAATTTCCCTGGACTAAGCTGGGCCTGGTTATCGTATATACTCTTTGAAACAGCAACTTGGGACTGCATATTCAGTCACAGCTGAAAAAGTGCTTGGATTCCTCAGCAGTGTTTTTGTTGTAAAACTACAACTACACACACCAAAAAAATCCAATACACCAAACACCAATACAAATATAAGGTATTATATGGTATAATATCAATAATATTTCAGTGTTTTCAGATTGTTCCGCTGCCCCCAAATGGCCAAAAAATCCATCAATCTACCAAAAATGGCTAGCTCTTAAACTGCAAATACTGTAAATAACTTTATCCTAAAAAAATAACTTGTCTTTTGTGTAAACATCTCATACAGCCCTGGGCAGCATGAGACTGATGTTTGTAGTAGTATTTGCCATTATAATGTGTTTTCCTTACTATGGTAGCAGACAAACTGTGCTGTATCTGTGCAAAGCCAATCCTCCCAGAAGCCACCAGCAGCCATTCCTGCACAGTTCTCATATCCCCTTTCGTTACTGGGTTCACCAGGCTTCCACATCCTGAACTCTGCCTCTCCTTCACTGTTAGAATCCTTCTTTTCCAGTGACCACCTCCAGCTGTTCCTGTCATCGTACAGCCCTGTCCAGAGATGACCACTGTAGTATTTAGGTGTCATGGCCACTTTGTTATGCGCTTCCTCGTTGTCAAATGAGGCCAGGTCGGTGTACTTCTCCCTGCAGTAATTCTGAGCTTCAGTCCAGCTCTTTCCCTTTTCAACAAGGATGTAGATACTGGGAAAACAGGCAGGTAGGAAACACAGTCCTGTGGAAATGAAAAAAGATGAGATAAAGATTTATTATCAAATTGCTGATCATTGACTTTTTAGCACATTCAGTGTTGGGTGTTTATTGGTTTGTTATTGGTTTTAATTAAGTTTACTCATAGAAAATATTTATTTATAGATTGTGGAGATTTATGACACCTTTTAGCTTGTTTTGGTTTGGTCACATTGCAGCTTTAATGTTTTGGCTCACTCTCACTACTCTCTTTGTCCGCTGCTTCAGGCAGCTGTTTTCCGTGAAAAAGCTCAGATTAACCCAGTGTACGCTTCCTACTTAGCACCAAACAGGGGACAACACAAGATATTGATTGGACATTCAGCAGCTAAACAGCCATATTTTTCATATCAGGTGTTGAGACCAAAAACAGATCTAAAATGAAATATTGAACTTACATGCCTTATCAACTTAGAAGCTGATGATATATATATATATATATATATATATATGTATATATATATAACACATATATATATATAAATAACACTAAACTATTCATTTAGAAATCAGATTAATTAAATTAATAACTATATTGGGAGATAGATACAAGATACTGAACCCTGAATTGCTCCTGATGCTGTGAATCGGTGAGTGTGTATGATTGAGTTAGTTTCTGTTTGATGGGCTTTGCCATCACTGAGTGAATGTGTGTGAAAGGGCAAAGTGCTTTGAGTGGTCAGAAGACTAGAAAGGTGCTGTACAAGTACGGGAGCAGGAGGGTTCTATTTAAAGGGGAATCCGTGTGTCAAGAATAACTATATAGAAATGATCTTCTCACTGATGGTCTTGTGTGTTTAGGTCATATAGAGGATTAAATTGAGACTGTTACATAACCAGTTAAAAACTCCTTGCAGTAGGTTTAACTACCAGCAGTAGTTATATAACATAACTTGTTAAGTAGAGCTAATTAACAGTGAGCTACTGATTTGTACCTTACTTTCTCTTCTTATAAAGTGTGTCAAAGAAATACAAACATTAAATTGAACCAACCTGATAAGACCACAAAAATCAAAGTCTTCCCCTCCATGGCAATGATTGCGCTGTTTCCTCTTACCGTTCAATCGTTACGCTGTGAGAGAAATACAAGAGCATGATTGACTGACTCCAATATACACTGATGTGCCACAGAACATGTACCCTATCAATACTTAATTGTTATCAAGCTGATCCAACTGTCTCTACTGTATGTTACAACCAGGTTTCTCCCAGTTTGACTAAGTGAAGATAAATGGAGAATTACCATAAAACTATGATATGTATACAAACCTCTTAAACTCACCAGGACGCTCACTTGAGGAGGTTCTAAGCTGATTAGATCTCCTACACAATATAAATGTTTAAACTTTTGCCAATATGGTCAAGCTACGCATTTTTAGATCGGCTAGATTCTTAAATCATTCATTTTACAGAAACTATGAGCACCAGTATAATTCATTCAGACTTACTTTTATTTATTTATTTATCTTCCTTTTCTGTGTAAGGGACCACCCTTTTTTCTTCCTGCACCGTGTTGTTTGCTGTGTTTGCTGTAGTTACCTAAGGAAGGTTTGCCGTATTTTGATACCTGGCTCTCCCTCCCTCTATGCATGATGATGTCTCTCTCTCTCTCTCTCTCTCTCTCTCATCCCAAATTTGCTTTGAAAAGGATTAAACGTTATTTGCATTGTGCCTCAACAAGTGGGGTTGACTCCACTTTACGTGGGAGAATTCAAATAATAAGCCCAATTTTGTCGATATATTCTCATATTACATTATTAATGTGATTATTAAAAAATAATTAGTGATTTGAATAAATCTCAGTGGCAGATTCATACGGTTTCTCCTTGTATAAAATGCTGATGTTCATAAGAGTTTTCCAAGAAATTGTCCTACAGTTGCGGTTGCCTTCAGTCAAGGAGGATTGATAGCAACTGATCCCAATCAGGGATTTAACAATACACTCAATAAATGATCTTGTCTGTCCCAAAAACACCTCCTGCTCCACTGCCTCTCCCTCCCCCTCTTCCTCTCAGACCCACATCCTCATCCTCTTGTGGGACACCTCCCCCCCCTCCTCTGTCATGACACCATCATCTTCATGCTCAATCGCATCTACACCCACCTGGACAAACCGGCGAGCACTGTTTTTTTACTTCTCCAGTGCTTTCAACAGCATCCGGCCAGCTCTGCTGGGTGAAAAGCCGACAGCGATGGAGGTAGATGCTCCCCTCGTGTCCTGGATTGTTAACTACCTGACTGGCAGACCACAGTATGTGCGCCTGTGACACTGTATGTCAAATAGAGTGGTTAACACCGGGGCCCTGCAGGGAACTGTCCTTTCTCCCTTCCTCTTCACCCTTTACACCACAGTCTTCAACTACTACACAGAGTCCTGTCTGTGAGAACTGAGAAGTTTTCTGATGACTCTGCTGTGGTTGGATGTATCAGCAGAGGTGATGGGACTGAGTACAGGACCATGGTGGTGAGTAACTTTGTCACATGGTGCGAGCAGAACCATCTGCAGCTCAGTGTGACAACCATCCAGGGTAAATGCGTATCTTTCTTGGCGTGTCTGCATCAGTAAAACCCATGGTTACATCGATTATTACATAGTTTATCTCCTCTGCACCCGTGTTTTCGAGGCGCCTTGAACGCACCATCACTATCTTTTTGCGCGGCGCTGACGCAGTTAGTAAAAAGAAAATATGGAGGGAAGCAACACAACAGGTGAAGAGGAGATATTAAGCGTACCTTGGAAGTCACACAAGTCCAAAGTTTGGCGATACTTCGGATTTTATTTTTGTTCAACTGTTATATTGTTGTATAAATCTCAATGATTTCTGCTCTCACTGCTCAGTTAGCCAACTAGAAGAGTGTCAGCTCAAGCACATCAGTCTGGCAGGCAGTAGTATGGGCATTGCACTATGATGAAGTTATTTGCACAATGCACATTGTTGATGTTGGGAAGTTTATAAGTGTTTTGTAAAACAGAGAACACTATTAGTAAAAGGACCTGAGAAAAGGATTTGTTTTTTTTTATTAAGAGGCCAAAAAGAAATTGCCTGAATACAATACATTTAGTATTGTATAAGTAGAGAATGAGATTAAAAACACATGTAATAAAAAAATATTTTTTGTTTGTGATTTTGTGTTAATTAGGAATAAAACAATCCTCTGTCTGTACCATATTGAATTGCATCTTCTTTTTAAGTTGGATTTATTGGTTTGCTTTATAGAAAACAATCAAGTATCAAATACATTAGAAATCAGATGTGGGCTTGTAAATTCTTTGTATTGTGTTGAATCATTTTAAATGGCATCATGAATCGTATCGAACCGAATCGCATTGTATAAAGTCAAATCGTTGTCAAATCATTAATGAATCGCATTGCAACGTGAACAGAGGTGAATCGTATCGCATCGTATCGGCAGGGGGCTCCACTGTATCGTTAATGTATCGTTTCGCTGGCAGAATATCGAGATGTGTATCGAATCGGCCTCAGTGGTGGGGATTCACATCCCTAGTGTAGACACTGTGGAGGTTTACACGTACCTGGGAGCTCACATAGACAATAGACTGGACTGGGCTTAGAACATTCCAGCCCTCTACAGGAAGGGCTAAAGCCGTCTCTATTTTCTGAGGCAGCTGAGGTCCTTCAACATCTTCAAGACAATGCTGAGGATGTTCTATGAGTCTGTGGTGGCCAGTGCTCTCCTGTTTACTGTTGTCTGCTGGGGCAGCAGGTTGAGGGTAGCGGACAGCATTGTCAGAGAGGAGGATGCTGTCCAAGATTCATGCCATCTTGGACAGTGTCTCCCACCCACTCCACAATGAAGTGGTCAAACAGGAGTACTTTCAGTGCAAGACTCATTCCGCCGAGATGCACCACACACTGTAAAACCCGATAAGTTAATACAACTCAAAAAAATAGTTGAAACAGATTACATCAAAAATTTTAATTGACATCAACTAAATTTTATAAGTTAAAAAAACCTTCTAGATTAAGTAGCTTTTACTAGGTAATTTTAAGTGACACTTACATATTTTAAGTTAAAGAAACATTTCAAGTACTTTTTACTAGGTATTTTTGTTATCATAGCACAAATAAAGCTATAGCTAACTTAAATATTTTTATTACCTTTAACATAAAATATATACATTTTCTGTAAATAATTTTTCCACTTTTAAGTTACTTAACTTTTTTAAGTTCAACGAAGCTATACAAACTCCCCTATAATTAAAAACTTTGCTTGATTTCAACTCAAATTGCAAGTTAGATACTTAAATTCTTTTTTGAAACAGATTACATAAATTGTATTAAGTAGCTTGAACTTAAAATACTTTCACATATTTTGAGTAGCCTAAACATAAAAATAAAAAAAAAACATGTTAACAGCCAGATTAAATGAAGTCACTCTTTTATTGAATAACCATATAACATTAACCAAACATTAACCATAAAAAATGTTTGGCAAATGGAAACAAACACTTTAAAAACAGTGCAAGGGCCTTGGGAAATGGCCTGAGGAATTATCACCTCTAGAAGTGGACAATATAAATAAAATGCAACTTTCCATTGTGATGATATATGGTGTGACAGTGTTTTTTAAATGTGTATGCATTTGGTTAATCTGTAAATTAAATACCTGACTAGGCACTGCATCACATTGATGCCAAAATCATAAAAAAACAAAATCACAATAAACCATTCGGCACATTACACATAGTGGCCAAATAAATGTAGATACTGAAGCATTTTGACTCATTATAAGCATAAAGGCAAAATATCTGGTGGTTGACACTTTTCACAGTATACAGGTATATGTGTAAATCACAGAACCCTAATCACAATCTTATTCATCAAACAGTCAAAAGTCAAACAGTGACATCAGAAATAGAAATAACAGTATTTTAAAAATAGTGCAAGGGCCTAAGGAAATGGCCGGAGTAAAGTGTTTTTAAACCATCACTTCTATGAGTGGACGAATGCACGGCATGTCATTTTATCAATATATATGTCTTGATAGTCATTTTTATGGAAAATCAATTAAGAAACTTTTTATGGATAAAGTAACCAGATGGGAAAGTCTGTGGTTAGTTGATTCAGCCAATTAAATACCTTACAAATTCAAGGTACTTCATCACATTCACACTAAAATCAAAGATTTCCATAAACAGTTCTGCTCATGATTTACCAACTGCCCCATAAAGACCTAATACACTTTGAAATATCAAAGAAATGGGTACTGCAGTATAAACAGTATGGCAAAATGTTTTCCATACATCCATACAGTACAAACACTATCAAACTTTAAGGTGGACAATAATACTTTCAAAACGGATCTATAAGATGCTTAAAAAAAAATTGTTTTAAAAATCCTTTCATAGCTCTTTGGTATGCCCAAAAGACAGTAGTGCGTGTGCATATGAAAAGTTTCAAGTAAAGGAGCAACTGTCCCTAAAGGAGCTGACGGTCAAACAACTGTCAGCTAGCTTTGTTTGTTTATACAGTGAAATTACTCCACTGCCAAAATGTCATTTTTAAGGCTCAACACCCTGGGCCTCAACTTTCCATCTTCCAGGCCCATCAAGACTTTCTGGGTAAAATCAAATGTATTGGCCAAGCCTTTTGGGTAACTTAGGTGCAAGGCATAAATCAGTGCAAAAAGCATGACAAATGCGTCAGCCAATGTGGTGCATTCGATAACTATGTTACCCTCAAGCACAACTGCAATCCTCTCTGGGCAGAAGAACATGGCATCTGTTGAATTGGCACTGATCAAGAGGAGCCCAACCGGTATGTCGTCGATGTTTGGTTCATCAGACTGCGCCACCTGAAGACAATAACAGGGAACGGTTACCCCAGATTGAATAAACTATATCCAAAAGATGCTGAAAGAGCAACTTGTCAGAAGACAAAAGAGACCTTCACAAACAATTAATCACATTCCATTAATGTAATTTCTGAACCGTAAAACATTATTATTAAACATTATAACCTTCATGATGGTAGGATTTGTTGAAGGACTGTATTAGACAATCAGTTTTAGCCAGGTGTACCTAATAACCTGGTAATTGAATACATACAGTATATTAACAGTATCATCTCCCCTCACTACACTGAAAATACATATGGGGCACACTAGAGTTTATTTTCTACTTAACGCCATCTCTCAGCCCTGTCTGGAGTCATGGCATGGGGCAATATTATTGTCTCATCTGATGCTACTGAACTGGTATCACTCTCAGACCATAAAACTTTTAGTACAGCCTTCTTTGGAAGCTCCTCAATGTCTACAAGGGAACATAACTGGCCGTCAAAGTCTGGATCTTGGTATGATAAGCAAAAGTCAAAGTCTAGCTTAAACCTTTCTTTAAGCATTGTTTTTAGCTCATCCACAGATTCTGGACGTGAAGATAAAGTCACCTTCCGGACACAATGTCCATGGAGGTATGGACATGAAGTAGGAAATTTTGAGCTGCCATTTCCTATTATTAAAAAGAAGAGAAGAGAGAGATGGATTAATGAGGAACACGCAATCAGGATTTGTTCAAAACAAATTCAGGCAATTTCCAGCAAATTTTAAGTTTTGAATTAAAAACATCATTGATCTATCTAGGCTTGTCATGGAGGGCAGTGTCACTAAAGGCATTTTGATTGTGACATTACACCAGTGTTTTTCTCCACACTGCTCCATGACACTGTACAGGACCCCACTTATAAAAACATTTTAATCCTGTAAGTCTCTGATCAAAATAAATCTTTTTTGTGTCAGCATTAAATGCCCATCGATATTGAATGCTGTGAGACTTACTGCGTCATTTAACTCCGACAGTTGATGCACAGAGACGTTGCCTGAGGATCTCAGCTCAAATGACCTTAAATGTTCACTGTACCAGCACTCGTACTTCCTGCAAAGAAAGGAAACAGTTATTCACAAGCAGTATCTGCTCAATCCTGCAGAATTGTGGAAGTCCTCCAGTCTGACCTGCAGAAACAAACCAAGCCATTTGCATACTCTGTGCCATCTATGGAGACCTTTGATGAACTGTATATGTTTTGGCTATCTGTCTCTGTCTCTATGAAGTCTTTTGCCACTTGAGGCAGTGTGGCAAATTGGACAGAGGTAACACTCGAGGCTTGTGTGTGGGGTCTGAAAAATAATGGCGCTCTGAAGTGATACGCCATCATGTGCTGATGCCTGGTAGAGAGAGTTTTCAAGACATTCTTGAAATTGTGTGTGTCATGTATCACCCTTTTGAAAAAACTGTTTTCCCTTGAACCTCATGGTCCATAGGTGAACAAGAGGCCCAAAACGCTTTGTCAGTTCTGGGTAGTGCTCAACATAATGATGCTTGGGTCGGAGTTTAAAGCCTGGAAACACCGCTTGAAGACCCTGTCTGTGATCACTTATTTTAGTCTGCATGTACTGGATGGATTCCTCTGTGAAAGATGGACACAACACCAGCTGCACAATTTCTTTAAGGTCCATCAATATGGCCCATACTTCATATCCTTCAAGGACTTCACTTCCTACCATTAGTGGTAATAACCTCAGCAATGTGGAATTTTCATGCCCATTCCCGCCAATGCTTAGTTTGGTTGCAAAATTCTTTGGGATTGGTTGTGGTTTATCAAGCCTATCAGAGTGCTCATATGGAAATGTGCGATATTCAAGAGTGAAATACTTAAGATGAATCATCTCACGGATGCACAAGGCAAGCTCAACTGGCACAATACCCTTAAACAGGTTGTGAAGTATGTCAGTTGGGAAACCAGTAATGGGATGAAAATGCTGCAATGTCTTGCTGAGAGCACACTCACCTGTAACACCAAAGTGAGTTGCATTTTCCCCTAGCACAACATTCTGCACATCATGGCAGGCCCTTGTTCTCATGCTAAACTCTCCTTCAGAAACTTCACTGGACTGTATCTGGTCTGTACTACAGCAACAGAATCGGGAGACACTGTGCTCGGAAACACTGCACAAAGCCTGTAAGACCATGGGCAGCCAAATTATCAGATGCAACACACAACACAGTGCCTCTGACACACTGACCAACAGTTTCAATGAAAATGCCATCCTGCTCAAGAGTGTGCAAGTCTTTTAACAAAGGTGAAATAACACTTTGATAACCACACTTCTGCAGATCAGGTACTTTGCATAGCAGAGCCAGCTGTATGACATGCAGGCTCGACCTACACTTACTGGGTATACTGGCAAGCAACCAGTATACTGCACAAAGCTTGTGGATCTTTCTAGCTGTGCCTAAAGGATTAGCTATTTCAATGTCATCCACGTACAAAATCAGTGACAATTTCAGCTCTCCTGTATCTGACAATAACTGATTTTCTTCTAAATATGTTCCATCTTCATGGGACATGTACATTCCAGGTGGTGATGGTTTGGCTTCTTGAATCTTGTCAAGAAGATCAGTATTTTTAAACATTGTTTGAAGCATCTGTAGTATTGGAACATACACTGCTGTGTGTCCACTGGAATCTACAGTATATTGCACTGGCATTACCAAAGGGTAGTTACTCCTCACAAATGTTTTCTTTCGCTTTGCAGTTGACAGCTCTGCCCCTTCTGATGTCGCACTGACAAAAACATTACTTTTCATTAAAGCTTCCACTAATTCATGAAGAAGGACATCACTGATAGACTCTTCATGCTCCTGAAAAACCCTGATCACAGAGTCTCTTACAAGAGGTTTGGACATATTTGTGCCAAGATTTTAACTATATCCTGTATAGCCATCTCTGATACATGAAGAACACTGTGCATTTTCAAGAACAAAGAAGCCAAATTGTTTCTCAATTGAGCTTGCCATTCACCAGTGTCATCTCTAGACTCAGGAGGATTACACTCAGGAGTATCCAGCTCAGGAGAATTCTGTGAGGGACCACCCTCATCAGATTCAACTTGACTTTGCATTGGTTGGCTGTCAGTTTAGGTCAAAAGAATCTCATTCTTAAAATCTGAGACATCACAGTCAGGATGATACCTACTTTTATGGGCATTGAAAGAGGAATACACATTAGTACGGTAGTGACAATTTTTGAATGGACAATCCACCATCTCGTGTTGTTTTAAATGTGTCCTTAAATGACTGACAAGACTTTTATCATTAAACAATTGCTTGAATCCACACACAGGACAGATGAATGACACACATCCCACCTGACTTTCACTGGGCACAACTGTCTGAGTATGTGACCGTGTTAAGTGAATTTTCAATGCATTTACTGACTGAAATGTGCAGATAGAGTCATCACAGAGACAAGGCAATGGGCTGATTGAGGAAATATTGCTATGATGCAAACGAAAGTGTTCAAGCAACTGTGCCCTTTTATCAAAGACAGGAGCAGCACAAAATTTGCACCTTCACGCCATTGGAAAAGTAAAAAATATTTCCCCAGAATCCCACCCACCAGTCAGGTTTTAGATCAATGTCAATGCTGTGCACTGAACATTAATTTACATTTTAGTACCTATGTGCAATAAATGTCTCTTAAAGCTTATTGTTCAAAATCAACATACCAGATTGAAGACTCTGTATATCAGCCAGTTGCTTCAGTTTCAGCCTTAAGAGAAAGGAGAAAGAAGAAAAACACCATGTAAAATATCTGGAAAGCATTTAACACAAACATACCTAACATTACAGGCATTGTGTGAAATACGGTGCTGTCTCAGATCCCACACTACAAACCTAGGACATCCTAAAACCCTCTGCTTTTTTTACTTTATACTGTAGAGTTTACGTTCACGCTGAAAGGTTCAAAGGTGATGAGCAACACAGAAATGTGACCAATAGTGAGCAGACAGCTAATTGAACTAATGCATGTCTTGCTGATGCCTACAAGCTTTGCTAACTTAAATTCCAAACCATTTAAACAGGCTGATTGATGCATTTAATCTCTGTGACAGAATAAAGTCCTTACTTAAAACAGTCCTTATATCACTAAACAATATATAAACAAAAAGCAACTACACTCCAGGTTTAGAAGAGAGATAACTTCAGAAGAGGACGTTATTTTAAATCCTTTTCAGTAACAACCCTGCACAGATTCGGCGGGACACTTGACCCCTAATTCTCACACTGATTAACGTTACAAGCCAAACAGTTTAATAGTTAACTTGCATTATGTCACACAAACGCAGAACACACGCTACAGTACAATGTTATCACATAAAATCAAAGTTAATGTAAGTTAAGACCTTTATGCAAACCACTAACATTACTCAGACATGCATGCCAATGAACGCGGTCGTGGGCCGCCATTTTGTGTTTTTTTTACCAGAGAACTTCAACACAAACACAAACTTTCCACTTTAAGGTGAAAAATAATATAACGTTAACGTTATCGCTTTTCATGTGTAATGAAGCAGTATAACAAATTAAGATAGCTCATATCACATTGACTTTTCAAATGCATGAAGATAAATGCATTTAATGCAGAAAATAATGAAGATTAAACAATAGCAGCCGTCGCCGTTGCAGCTGCTAAATATGGTGCTAACGTTAAATCAACAGGTTACTCACCAGATTAGCGTACTCATAGACAACATCAATATAACGGCGGTCAGAGTGGTCAGCAGCACAGCGGAGAAAGTGAGCTGAGCAGGTTGAGACAAATGCTGCATGTCACAGAACGTTTCACCTTCACTCGCTGTCCCAGGCGAATTTACCAAGAAAAAATATCTCCTTTTCTGCTTTCACTTCAAAATTTAAAAAAGTTTACTAACTTGTTTACAAATTACAAGTTTCTCATCCGATGCGAGCAGCAAACATGGCAGACTTTTCCAAGGCCTTGGTGAAGAAGCACGTACGCACATGCGTGACGTCAGACATCAGACACAGGGATTACCGTCAAATTATTTGAGTACAATGACTAAAATAACTTAAAGTGGTTGATCACGGTATACTTTAAATTACAAATCAGTACTAATAACTCAGAAGATTAGTGGTGAAATAGCTTTTTTAAAATTTTGAGGTAACACAACCCATTTTCTTTAACAAGCTTTTACTGTTCGGTTTTACAGTGCAGAGCGGCACAAGAAGTCATTCTTGCCTGTGGCCATCAACAGGATTTAGAGGACATCATAACACAGAGTCAGCACTGGTTAAAGTTAATAATGACCTTTTAATCACTTCAGACAATAAACTTGTCTCTGTACTTGAATTGTTAGCAGTTGCACTGGCTCCCTGTAAAATTCAGAAAATAATTTAAAATCCTCCTCCTCAACTATAAAGCTCTTCATGGTCAGGCCCCTTCATATCTTAAAGAGCTCATAGTACCCTATTACCCCACTAGAACACTATGTTCTCTGAATGCTGGGCTACTTGTGGTTCCTATAGTCTCTAAAAGTAGAACAGGAGCCAGAGCCTTCAGTGACCAAGCTCCTCTCCTATTATTACTATTATCATTGCTCATCGTCCCCATTGTTATGGCTGTTGACGTCGTTGTCATTATCTTTTTCTTCTTCATCATCATCATTACCATCATTCACTTCTATTAGTGTAGTTGTTGCTACTTTGGTTGCTGTGCACTTTTGTCTCTGTCTCTGTCCTTCTGTCTTTATCTCTCTCTCTCTCTCTCTCTCTCTCTCTCTCACCCCAACACTGGTCGAGGCAGATGGCCGACCACCCAGAGTCGGGGTCTGTCCTAGGTTTCTGCCTCTTAAAAGGAAGTCGGCTAGTGCTTGCTAATGGTGGGAACTGTTGGTTCTCTGTAAATAATTTTATAATGAGTACGGTCTAGACCTGCTCTATTTTATCTTAAATCTTAAACTCACTGTTATTTAATTTCTGTCACTGTGGAAGATGTTTACATTTACATTTACTTTCTATATAGGCTCTTTTTTATTTTTATCTATACTTTTACTTATATATACCTACACATACATTTCTATTCTGTATATTGTGTTAGATATTGTAAAAGTATTTTATATTATATAGTATTCTAATTGTAGTATTTCTGATTCTGATCTGACTTGTCTGCTCATCAAAAAAAATTGTTTTTTTTCCCAAAGTAAAATCAGATTCTATTCATTCTGTGTTCCATTCGTGGAAAAGGGATTTGTTTGCAAATGTAGGTTTTGCAAATCATCCAAATTAGCTCTCGCAACTTCCTGAAAGAGTGAGAGTCTCGAGCCTCTGGGAAATTGTTGCCTTGCTTTCTCATTATGCTGTTTCATTAACCCTATGTCTCTATGTCTAGGTAATATGTATGGGTCGGGGTCAGTTAACCTTATAGTGTACTGTGTATTTTTACATAATTAATGATTTGTTATTGTTTTTCTGATTCTATTATTGTCTAACTGTGTATTCTAAGAGCTTTAAAGGTCCAGTGTGTAACATTTAAGAGGATCTATTGGCAAAAATGGAATATAATATTCATAGGTAGCATACATTTTCATTAGTGTATAATCACAAGAAAATAGAAATTGTTATGTTTTATTTACCTTGGAAAGAATCGTTTTTATCCACAATGTTTCTACAGGAGCCCAGGAGGGACACAGATAGGGGTCAAGCCTACTAATACTATTTTACTATATATACTATACTATATTAATCCCCAGAATGGGATGTACAACTAATGCAGGGTCCAAGGCAAAGATTTGGGGCTTAGTGAATAGTTCTGCATTGTCTGGGTTATTATTCAATAATATATATAAATACTGTTTAAAATTTATCATATAACACACACAAAATGATTTTGATTTGTGTCTGCTCATCAAAAAACAAAAATTTCAAAAGTAAAATCAGCTTCTATTCATTCTGTGTTCCAGTCGTGGAAAATGGATAAGCAAATGTAGGTTTTGCAAATCATCCAAATTAGCAGAGATCTTTGTATAAGCAACTTCCTGAAAGAGCCAAGGTAATCAAAGTGTGACTTTGCTTTGTTATCTGTGTGTCCTCTAAAAGTGATCAACCAAGCACGATATTTGGTCTAAAAAAGATTACGTCCATTTTAATAACCAAGCATTTACTTTTATTATCCATTATTGCATACGCAGGATCTCTACATACCAGTAACTTTGTTTCAGATTAAGAATAGGATTTTTCAGGAAGGTGCACATTGAACTTTAAGTAGAATATATGAAAATCAATTAGCAGTCTTTTAACGTAACTTATTAATGTGTATCTTACAACCACCCGTGGCGCTACTATTGGGCCCGGGTGGGCCTGAGCCCACCCATTTTAGGCGTTTTAACGTAACTTATCAATGTATATCTTACAGCTATTGTATATCTAGCTGCCTGAATGTGCAATAGCAGTGTAGTGACTTAAAATACCATGAAATTATGTTTTTATTTATTTAATGAAATGAATGAAAAGCTTAAAGAGCTCACTCCAGCCCCTCTGGTAAACTGCATTCTTTCTACAGCTGGCTTAAATAACATGGTCCCTCCCTCTGACAACATTCTGAGATGACATTTTACCAGATACAGATTTGGCCCCTGTGATGGCCGCCCTAGCAGCCACACATTGAGGCACAAAGCGCATGGTGGTAAGTCTTTCATTTGTTTGATTATATTTAGGCTTAGAACATTACACACAATTGACAAATAACTGGACACAGATTTTGGATTCATAATACATAGTTTTATTATCCGGTTTTGACAGTAGTTATCTTTTTAGGTGCACACAATTAGTTAACTTTCGTTGTCAATTTTCGGTAGTATTATTAGGTTCATTCAGGTTATTTTTCATTGCATTAATTCATTTTTCTTTGAGTTACCAGTTCCTGGGTGCTGCTGCTGATGATGTTGCATGGCTGACAAAGGAAGTGCCGGCAGACTCAGAGACACTTAAAAGGGGTTGGGCCGATAATTGGGCTACACCATGTTGGCCTGAATCATGGAGAGAGGAAGTGATTTCTCTTTGTTTGAGTTTAGTTATTGCTGATTAGTATACTTTTTGATGTGTAGTATTTCAGTATTTTCCTTAGTTAATAATTGGCTGCATTATCTGGATATTATTGCACGGTATTATGGTTTGTTAAATGTTATGTTTTAGTCTATTCCCCCTGTGTGTCAGAGTGGCCTGATCAGCCACTATTTAAGTTTCCCCAATGTCTCAGTTTAGTTGGGTCGGTTTGGTGTGTTGGCTTAGTATGTTCAGTTCGTTCAGTTAATGTAGCCTGAGTTAAGTTCTGTTTAGTTGACCTCTTTTATGGGCCCAGAACATTATGTAAATTGATTATTTTCACTTTTTTTTTTGTGAATCAAAGGACTTTTGTGAAGACTTACCTTTGACTCCTCATGCCTGCCAGCTCGGTCCCTGACAGCCTCTTTGAACACTGAGTCCTCTCTTCCCAACTTTCACCACAGAGCTTGGTGGCTCTTCCTGAAATGACATTCACGACAGTGGGCTAGTCACACAGCTTCTACTCACTAACACGGGTACATGTATTGCTACTCTCCCTGTGCTTTTGACTTTTGATTTCCATAAGGACTTCAATCCACCCATCCAACGGTACAATCGTCCCATTTGCAGTTGTGATATGGAGCTGGAGGTCTGACAGTAGGCTTTTGATGGGTGGAATTTTGGAATTTGTTAGGACTTTTCCACTCAAGATTTCCCCACAATACTGACCTAAACACATCTCATTGTGATGTCATAGTGGAAAGTTCATACCCAACTGTTATGCTACTATATATGTGACTAAGGCTGTGTTAACACTGCAAGCCTTAGCGCTCGGTTTACTTGAAATTAATCAAATTGAAATGTACCAATTAATTACAGTCTCTATTTTTGTCATGTTGGTTCATGGTCATTGTAGGTTGTCTTATTTTAAAATTATCAGCATCTGATTACCTTACACCTGCTCACTATATAGTCTCTGTGTTTTCCTCCCACCTCTGTTAGTTTGTCTTTGTCTACTCAGTCAAGCGTACCAGCAGTATTACTCGTGTTCTTGTACTTTTTTTTTCTGGATTTGTGCCTTGCCCCTGTCTACTGTGTGATTTCCATATCTGCTTTATACTTATTCCCTCTGTAGAAGCCCCTCATAGGGTGGCTGAGGAAATGAAAACAGCCAACAACCCCTTCCACTTTTTTTCATGAGAATTAATTGAATGCGGTGTAGACACACTGTCTTAGGTCAACAAATTTTCCGTTTTGAAATGAGTAAACCAAAATTGGGAAACAAGCTGTTTCCCCAACTACAATTTATAAATAGGAACGTTTGTAATGAATAAATGAATAACCAACACAGTGAGGTGTTGTTGGTGATATGGAGATTTTCAAAAGAATTAAAACTCATCTAGGCACTTATCATCCCATCAGACAGTTATCCCAGTCAGAGTTATCCCAGTCAGAGTATGTGAGTGAACTGTAATTATATGACTGGCGCTGTACAGTGAAAGTACAATAGGAGATGTAATTTGGTTTTAGCTCTTGATTATAGATCAAGAGATCATATAGATAGATTTTAATTTAGTAACTTTTAAAAGTTATCTGACTGACTCAATTTAGTGTGTTAGCATGACGTCATCATATAGACTGACTTTTTCTCAGCTCCACCAAGTCTGGCTGACTTCCAGTAGCATTCCAAAAAAACACACAGGTTGTAAACAAGACAACAGGTTAGTCATTATTCGGAAGAGAAAACAAAGGCAGGCTTTAAATTTTTACCCAAACTGTAAAGATAACAGCAATTTAACAGTGAGCTCACTTTCCATTTTGCCTCCAAATAAAGTGGTTCAGATCACAGTGTTAATAAATAAAACACAAGTTCTAATACATTTAAATAAAATGGAAACTGTGAATGTGAAACAGCAGGTAACAAATGAATTGTCT